TATATAACAAACAAAAACCAGATGCTTCTATACAACTATTCTGCAGAACTTCTCTTACATTCTATGATGTTTATTCTAAAACAGGACTACAGGATTAAATGTGCAGCTACCTCTAAACTCCAAGAATACATGCAGTGATGTTAAAAGTTACGAACCAGATTGAATTTTTAGTATTTTTCATAAATGCATAAAAAGTTCTTGATTTATTTATTGAGGACAATGATCCCAAACTACATATTTGTGTGTGACAAAAGTATGTGAACCTCTATGATGATCAGTTCATTTGAAGAGGAAATTAGAGTCAGCTGTTTCAAACAATTGGATGATAATCAGATAGGAGTGTGGGAAGTATGTCTTATTTAGGGAATAGAATTTCAAATATTCAATATCAAAGTTTGATGTTCACAATGCAGGGATGAAGAAGTATATCACGGCTTGAACTAAGAAGATTTCTCAGGATCAGATACTCTTCAGTCTGGAAACGTTTACAAAAATGATTTTCAAAGAATTGAGATCCCACACTATTGGACAGATCATGTACAAATGGAAGCAATTCAACACAACTGTTACCTTCCTCAGTAAAAGCTTAGCAATCAAGATCACACCAAAAGCTAGGCAGGTAATATTCTAGAACAGCGGTTCTCAACCTGGGGGTCACGACCCCTTTGGGGGTCGAACGGCCATTTCACAGGGGTCGCCAAAGCCCTCTCTCACCCCCCCACGCCTTCACTCACCCTCATCCTCTGCCTCTGTTGGATCACCCGGTCGCCGTTCGCTTATCCCGCCCACTCCCAATCTATTGCTGCCTCCGGAGTCCCAGCTGATGGCTAGATGGGAAAAAAAACTTTAAATTCTTGCCGCGGGGCTTCAAAGAGCTAGTTGCAAAGAGGTAAATTCCTGGAGCAGATTTTTTTCCCCCTAGCTATGCTGAAAAAGCAAAATTGAAAGTAAGCAGGTTGCAACGTGACAAAATGAGGCAGAGAGATTTCTTTTTCTTTTTCCACACCAAAAAAGGTAGGTGCAAAACTACAAACAATGGGAAATTTAGGGCAAAAGAGTAGAGTTCAAGATTTTAAAACACAAAAGAAAAAAAGCTCTATTTAACTAGGGAATTGTAATAATTGAGATACTATTAATTGTATATTGTGTTGAAAGCAGAAATGGTTAAGTTGTGGTTTGGAGGAATATATGGGGGAAATTATTTGGTTTATTATTATTGGTAAATATAATTAATTGATTTCTAAGAAATTGGATTGCATGGAAATAATTGGAATATTCATGTTCATATTGATTAATATACAAAAAAAATAGTTATATAACTAATTGATTTATATTAAAATGTTGAATTTGTATTAAACAACTGTATTACATAATTAATCAATGTGAGGATGGATATAAAAATAGATGACAATGCAAAGGGGTATAATATAGAATAGAAGGGAAAAATTGAATTTGATTATGATTAGAGATGAGGATGAAGGGTAATATTGTTTTTTTAAAAAAAATAGATGAGGAATAAATATGGTAAAAAGGAAATATAGAAATTGTAAATTTAATTGAAATGACTAAATACTGTGTTGGAAGAAATATCCTTCTGGGTTCTGCTCCAAGTGGGGAAAATGACACTGGAAACATGGAGACTGCTTGGAAAGATGGTTTAATGGTGGACAGGATCACATGGCTTGATGGGGCCCATTGTGTTAGTTTCTGTTGCTATTGTGTTGCAAATGTCCTTTGACAAAGGATTGACTTTCTGCCTCTGGCCCATTAACAAAGGGTGGGGGGCAGGAAGGTGAGAGCTGCTTTGTCTGTAAAATATGCTTCTCCATTTCTCATCCAGGTAGGGAAATATAATATTCTGCCTTTTTAATATTTCCCAAAATATTTCATTCTTCTAGGAAAGGGGTGGGTGCTAACCTCCTACAACTGTTTAAATTTGTGAACCGGCCAAATACTCTGTTCAAAGAAAATACGTTGTATGTTTGTATGTGTGTTTCTAATTATTGCTATTTATTGCTATTTGTTCTCTTTTATTCTTTAAAGTTTAACAATTCATTCTTTATCTTAATATCTTAATATTTGTTTGGGGTTGGCTTTCTTCCCTTTCATCTTTTTTATTGTACAGCAATCTTTCTCCTCAAACCTACCACCTCTGTCTTTTCTTTCTTTCTTACTTTCTCTCCCCCCCTTCTTCTTCTCCCTACTTCCTCTTTCTTTCTCTTTCTACTCCTCTCTTCCTCCCTCTCTTACCTTCACTCCTACTCTAATTTCCCTTCCCTTCCTTCATCCCTCTCTATTGCTGTATCCTTTTATGCATACCCTGCAGGGTTCGAATCTCGCCAAGGCTCAAGGTTGACTCAGCCTTCCATCCTTTCTAAGGTAGGTAAATTGAGGACCCAGCTGTGGGGGCAATAAGCTGACTTTGTATAAATATACAAAAGGATGAAGGCTATTGCTGAGCACATTGTAAGCCGCCCTGAGTCTTCGGAGAAGGGCGGCATATAAATCAAATTTAAAAAAAAAATACGGACTACTCAGAGGGCTGAAAAAGTTATTTTTGACTGGTCCTCGCACTTTTGACCAGTCCTCGAATTTACGACTGTCCTCACATTTTACGTTTTTTGCCCTATCTTATACCATGTTGAAGAGAAGCAGTTGTGAAATGAGTGACATGGTTGTTAAGAATGCTGCACAGGCATAAATGTGAGGATGGTCATAAGTGTGAGGACCAGTCAAAAGTGCGAGGACCTGTCAGAAATGACTTTTTTCAGCCCTCTGAGTAGTCCCTATACACATAGCCATGGCCACCCGGTCACATGACCAGCTAGCCACGTCCACCTGGTCACATGACCTCCAAGCCACGCCCACAAAATAAGCCACGCCCACAGAACCGGTAGTAAAAAAATTTAGAACCCACACCTGGTTGGGGGTCACCACAACATGAGGAACTGTATTAAAGGGTCGCGGCATTAGGAAGGTTGAGAACCACTGTTCTAGAAGGTATTAAAACCCTCAAGGTAACATCTAAGGAACTAAAGGCCTATTTTGCATTGGCCAATATCAGAAGAACACTGAATAACAATGATGAGCATGGCAGAGTTGTAAGGAGAAAGCCACTACTTGGGCTTGGAACGGAAATGTTTGGGAATGGCCAAGTCAAAGTCCTAACCTTAATCCTAGAGAAATGTTGCAAAAGGACCTGCAGCAGATAAGTTCATGTAAGGAAGCCCAGTAACATCCTTGATTTGAAGCTGCGTGTAAGAGGAATAGGCTAAAATTCCTTCAAGCTGATATGCAGGACTGATTAATAGTTATTATGCAATAGTTATTGCAATAATACTGCAATAGTTAGTTGCAGTAATTGTTACCCAATAGAGGGTGTGTGTCACCAGTTACTGAAAGCAAAAGTTTACATATTTTTGCCACTTCAGTGAGAAGTTAACAGCATATTACCCTGTTTCCCCCAAAATAAGACATTCCCTGATAATAAACCCAATCGGGCTTTTGAGCACATGGCAATAAGGCCAAGCGCTTATTTCAAGGTTCAAAAAAATATAAGACTGGGTCTTATTTTTAGGGAAATATGGTATGTACCTCACTATATAGTCATGCTGGCCACATGACCATGGAAATGTCTTCAGGCAACACTGCTCACTCAGCTAAGAAGTGGAGATGAGCACTGCCCCCTAGAGTCAAACATGACTGGACAGAGAAAACCTTTACCCACCTCTCTCTCTCTCATACACATACATATTCACATATTCACATATATATGTATATGTCTGTCTGTGTTTGCGTGTGTGTGTGTGTGTGTGTGTGTGTGTGTGTGTGTGTGTGTGTGTCTGTTTATTGTCTGAGTCAGATGGAAGGTGAGAAGATATCTGTATCACATCCTAGACATAAATTGTTTCAACTCCTCCCCTTGGATGGTGCTATAGGGCATTGCATGCCAAAACAACTAGACACAGGACAGTTTTTTCCGTTGTGCCATCACTTTGCTGAACACCTAATTCTCATAGTGCTGTCTAATGTCTATGTCTATTTACCCATGTAGTATGGCTGTAGTATTATTATTTAACCTTATCTTCTTTACTCCACTTTTTACTGGTATTATGATTATCGTTATTCTGTTGCTTTGAGAACTGAGTACACTGAGAACTTCTACACCAGAGACAAATTATTTGTATGTCTAATCACCCTTGCCAAATAAAAGTTTTCTATTCTATTCTATTCTATTCTATTCTATTCTATTCTATTCTATTCTATTCTATTCTATTCTATTCTATTCTATTCTAAAGAGAACTTCTTAGAAAGGTTCACAAAGTTTTAAGCACCGCTATATATAATATATATTAACAATCAGATTTCACTCAGATTTGTTAAATTGTTCTATCGATAAAACCTCCTCTGTTAGTAGAATGGGTTGGGGCAGCTTCCCCTTCTGCAGGATCTCCTAAATACCTTTGAAATCTGTTATGGAGGGTTTCTGAGCCCTCAGGAGCAGATGTGCAGGGGAGATGAGCATGGTGTCAGGGAAAAAGAGAGAAGAAAATCTTGTTTCATGAATAGACATCCCTCATGATAATCGAATAGACAAGTCACTAATAAAACACAATGAAAATGCAAACTCGTGATGAGCTGTCATCTAGACTTTGATGTACAATCCACAGAATATTTGCACATTTACTCCTGTTTGCCCGTTAGTTCACTGCTTTCCAAAAAACAGAGCTACTAAACAGGTGTGGAAAAGTCAAACTCTGCCAAGCTTGGCTGCCCATGAAGCAGTTGAAATCATGAAGTTCCTATTCAAAGCAAGGTTTCTGTGACAGCAGGAGTATATATTGAATATTTATAGGTACAGTCATCTGAATGATAATTAGTATCTTGTCCACTATTATCAATTAAATGTTATTAGTAAAATAAATACTGATCAGTATTTTGAGTGGAGTTTATATTGATATTCAGATATCAAAACTCAGTAAGTATAAAAACGAATAATCATCCAAAAGATATTCTATTTTATTTAAAAATACATTCTCGGACAAATATAGTTCCTGCAAAACAGTCAGTGGATTCCATTTTATTCATCCTTGCAAGCATGGTATTATTAACAAAATGTTAAATTATAAATTGATGAGAAATCGGAAAGTATAAAAAAAATCAAAACTATTTAGAAAATGACCATCATATGTCAATGTTCTTAATTTTTTTCAGAGAAACTAAAGCTGAATGTAACGAATGTTAATAAATTCAAAACTATAATACCTAGGATTCCATAGTTGGAGAAGCTAATGGAAAAAGGAGCTCCAGGTGAGTAGAAATTCCCCAAAAAGGTACATTAAAAGCACAACTGCATATAATTCAAGTAAGGAGAAAAAATGGAGGTCAGGAAAGAAAAAACATCTGTGACTCTAAAAAAAGTTTATCAAAGTTCTAAAGAAAAAATAAAGGACACACATGAGGTTTTAAAAACAGTAGATATAAAGGACTTCAGGATGACCTGGAACTAGAGAGAATGTCAGAAAAGTCAATTACCCAGAAAGGTGATGTGCTCCTGTTTCAGTATATGTATTCCGGAAGAGGTTAGAAATCTATCTGTTGAAAGGCTTTATTTTGTATACACTCAAGTGGCATTTGGATCAGTTGTTTAAACAATTCTTCCAGGTCCATGATTATACAATCTAATGATCACTTACTGGTATGTACATTATATGATGTCTTAAACTCGGGAACTCTCTCTCTCTCTCTTCCGAAATTAGCAAGATGCCAGCTGTTACATCTTCTAGATGTCTAATGAAGATCTCTCTCTTCATCCAGGGCTTCTCTATCTGAATTCTAAGCCTGAAACAATTAGTAGTTTTTCAGTCTCTCTGTCTCCCACCCATCACATGGTTCACTTAATGACCAGGTCACTTTGCAGCCATTTCAACAGAATCAATTGTGGTTGCTAGATGAGGATTACCTGTACATAAAAATGAATATGAAATAGTAAACAAAAGATATTATGAGAAGGAGATGGGAAGAAGGAAAAGGCATTTACTTCTTTTTTTACTGATCACTTATGTCACTCAGCATCCACTCATTTTTGACCCACATCTCTTTTTTATGGTTTTAATGTATACACTTTTAAATATCCTATTTCCTGCATTCACTGTTCATTTCCCTGGTCAGACATAATTACCTTAGTCTTTGAAACATTAATTTTCAGATTTATATTCCTTGTTGCATCAGAGAATGTATGTAATATTTGCTGTAAATCATTCAGGTTCTTGGCCAACAAGAAGATAGCACCTGCATGCATATTCATATCACCAATCAGCACCCCACTAACATTACTAATAGCTTTCCTTATTTGTTTACTCCTAAAGTCATTACATAACCAAAGGACATCCTATAACTTCGTCTTACTACCTGCTCAATGTTGAATCATTTGCTAAATCTTCTCAGGCTTGCTTTAGTTCCAACAAATATCATTTTTATCACATTCAATAATCAACTCCATTCTACATTCCATAATTCAAGCCTCTTCATTTTTTTTCTATATTTTCTGCTAATTAACAATATACTTTGGGTTTACTTTCACACATTTACAAGTTTCTCAATGAACTGCTAAACAGTGACAATCTACACAACTCCTTCCCAGCATAAAGTAGAATGATGCCTTTTATATCCTTTCAATATGAATTCTGCCCAATTCTGCAGAATTCCCCCAACTGTTATTATACAAAGATTTCTATTGTTAAACTATCCATGCTTGCCACCTTAATATTTTTCAGTATTCTCCTATTAATGATCTCCTTTTCATCTTTGTTTTTCTTGGAGAATAATATTTATTTAAGTTTTTAAATATAGTTTTTAGAACTAGTATTTAGTTCTGTGAACATTTGAGATTCTGTACAAAATGTTCCTTTCAACATTCTCACTTCAAATTCATCCCAAATCAGTCATAATTTCATTTTGTTAAATCCACTCTCCTTTCACCCGTTTCTATAAAGTTTCCACTTTTGTCAGTTTCTAAAGACTAGCAATTTGAAATGCCCATGTGCACAATATTTGCCTCTCTTAATGTCAGGACCTAGATGGGGTAGTGCGTGTATTTCATATGACTGGCCTAACATCAGTGAGTAATGGGACTTCAAGTGTGAATTTTCTCTGGTGGTGATGATGATACATACATAAAGAAAACATTGATATAATCATGGTGCAATCCTTCAATTCATTCACTGGGATTCATTTTTAACAGACAATGTTCTGTGAGTAGAACCTCTAACACTAAGATTTTCTGAACACAGATATTTAAAGCCCAAACGGACAAGTGATATTTATTCAGGAAGTTACATGCTGAGATAGACAGCCTGCATCTCCAAACTTTCTTGCTTCATGATGGGCAACAAAGGAAGGAAGGAAGCACTACTATAGTTATAGGAAGCAGCTTGAGAAGAGAGCTAAGAACATAAGGTTTTTAAACAGGAAAATAATTCAGAATCAAAAAAAGAACAAAGGGGGATCTTCTATTTCCTATCTCTATTCTTAATGTGTTTGTTTGTCAAAAGATAAAACATCTAACAAGTTGATACTTCTGGAACTTCCTCTCTAACCAGCAGATATTGCTTTTCTGTATGCCAAAAGAAAATAGAAATGCAATTGCATTTATGGATGTTGTTTCTGCTATTTTTTGTAATATAAAAGCAGCTTTCAGTAAGAACACAGGCCACCTTACAATCAGTTAAGTAGACAAAGTTTGACAAAGAAATATGTATTCATTTTAAGATCTATAATACATTTTATTGCTTATTTAGTGTTTTCTATCTTCATATACTGGAAAAAATATTGTTGCATGTGAGTTTCATATAAAATGAGATACCATTTAATATAATAGGACCATGGTGAGAAAACTGTTTCTTGCAGTAGTTTGAATAACCCTCTTCATCATCAAGATAATACAATTTACTTGTTTATACCAGGTAGCTTTGTGCATTTTAGAAATTCTCTTTTCTAATATATCTTTTTTTAAGCGCACTTTTGTATAAAGCGAATTCGACTGTTAGTATGATAAGTGAAAATGTTATTGTGAAAATCTAACACTTATCATGAACTAAAACACAGAAATCATCTCACTTTTTTACTTTAGAAAAAGCATCCAGAAGTTTTAGCTGGTGCAGAATGCATGGGCTATATCCCTCTAGGATGGCCCATATCACCTCTGTTCTGTGAATTGTACAAGTTGCCAGTTTGCTTCCAGTGTAATTCAAGGTGCTAATTTTAATCTTTAAAGCCCTATGTAGCATGGGACAAGGTTACTTGAGAAACCATCTCTTCCTGGTTACATTACCCATCCCATTAAGTCTAGCAGAAAAAGGATAATCTGAGTCCCATCTGCAAAGGAGTTCCATCTGAAAAAATCTAGCAGTCATGGCTTTTTGTCCTGTAACGTTCACTCTCAAACAGGGGTATCAAACTGGCGGTCAGTGGGCTGGATGTGTCACGTGCAGGCCACGCCCATCCCAGCTCCGCAAATGGAAAAACCATCGTGAAAAGTCATGTGATGGCAACGTGACGCCACGAGTTTGACACCTGTGCTCTAGAACAACATTTTTCAACCTAGAATAGGCCTTCTGGAAAGCCTTAAAAATGGTTTTTCCATTATTTTATGTTTTATTCCTTTATGTTTTTTATGAATGAAAACTATGAATATACGTGTCCCAGGATAATGTTGCAGGATCCAATCTGGGTCAGTCACTGGGCAGACCAGAAGTTTGTCTTCCTATATTTTTGTTATATATGCCTGATTTATTTTAATATTGTGATTCAGTTTTAATTGCTGTTTTGCTTATAAGCCACCCAGAGTCACTTTTTGAGACATGGGCAGCTATATAAATTTGCTAAATAAATACATAGTGCCATCACGAGCAAAGAGAGTGGTTTCCTTTCACCATCAACTTCAATCAATCTGCCTCTGTTTGGAAAAAAATAAATAAAAGGAATTTCTATACAGTCAAAATGATTTTCATCCAATTTTTATTTCAGGTCTTCCCATTTTAAATAAAAGAGCAAATTTCAGAATCAGACACAAGAGACGTATAGATTTAAAAAGCCAGTAGGACTCATTTAATTTAGCAGTGGGGATAGCAATGACTTGTTGTACCTAAGCATATCAGAAATGGGGGGAGGGGGAGAAAAGAGGGGGTGTGAATGTGAAAAGTTGCATTGTGTCACAAGTCGTACCCGATTTGTATGTGCATTTTGACACTGCATACATATTCACAATGGGTGGAGCTTGCATTGCAATGGCACAAGACTGCTTTTGTCAACTTTGTGTAGGCCTCTGTCCCTGAGGATGATGCTGAAAGACAGCTCTAAAGGAAAGGAAAATACTCTAGACCTGGTTATCATGAGCACTAGAATTGTATATGACATAGAACAGCCTTTCCCAGGGAAATATAAAGATGGTCTTCATTTATTTCATGACCTCTTCGGACGGCCATAGACTACAAAAAAGTAAGGTCTTTCATCTTTGAATTAGGATTTTATGGTGCAGCCATGGTTGATTTAAACTGAAGCACAAGCTTTCTTTCTGGGTTTTTGGGAGAAAACGAGAGCAAGAAAGCAGCAAACAAGGGGAAGAACTACTGCTATTTTGACCCAATGTCAGTTTAGTTCACTCTAAATTTATTCTTTTCAGTTGCCATATTCTGCTGCATTAAACACATAACAGTCAGAAAAGTTTAATGGATCCCTGTAGATGCCCAACTCCACATCAGTATTTTCATGCACAATGATAAACAAATGATACCCTTTGAGCAATGGCATCATTTCAAGGAACAATGGTAGCAAATCTACATTTATTTTTAAAATGCAGGAATGTTTTCTTAAGAGCATGAAAACAAAATAAAGATAATACAATGGCCCCATGAGCAATCATAACTAAGGGACAATTTTCTGTGAAACCAGAACACTGTGCAGCTAAGATATGGCAATGACACACTACCCTCTCACTGTTTTTCTGTTGTTACAAAATGACAATATTGTTTTTAGTCAATTTCTTTTTACCAGATTGACAGAATTACAGGTTGACATTACTGTGAAATTCTATGATGTATCATGTTAACTCTGCCAGTTTGATTAGTCTTGACTGACAGCCAGTACCTGCGTAGCAAGTTAAATATGCTAGGGAAAAACATACGCCAGGGGGAGAAAGAGGGAGACAGAGGATGTATACAATAGAAACATAAAAGTAGCAGTTACAATTTAAGACTGTCACTTTTGGTTAGACTTCAATGTATAGTTTCAGTAGCCTAAAAAGCTGTTAATTAGTAATTGCTACTGAACTATTAATTGTATTTACTTGACTGCAGAAGAACCACTTTCTGTTTACAATACCACTTCTAAAAAGAGAAAACAATAAAATCAACATTTTAAATCCTTTGGTAGAAAGATTTGTAATATTCAACTATTTGAACCCATATTCATCTAAGGGTCACTGTGCTGTATTATCAATTTGTACAAAAGACAGCAAGGGTTTAATAAGGAAGATGAAATGATATGCTTTGAGATGACAATGCAAAAGAGACTTGTCATTCAGATAGTCTCACTGACCCTGGATGTCTGAACATTTATAATTCTAACTGATAAAAAGCAAATGTAAAGATTCGGGAGATTTTGTACACTCTCGCCTGGGATCCATAGATCATTTGGGGAAAGAAGCTCTTTTTTCTAATCAGTGCCATTTTTTAAAAATTAGTACTGTTTCCAATGCAAATTTATTTGTTTATTTCTGCTAATATCTTATGCTTGAAAAATGTTCCAGATACTACAAAAGATAGCTTTAAATATTTTCTAGATAGTATGCTACCTAGAAGGAATACTTTTCATTTTATTATTCTAATAACTGTTCACTGTATATTATAAAATTGTTAGCAAAATAATGATGATTAGCAAAATCATCAAATCCAACTTCATTCT